GGGAACAATAGACCAAATGATGAAAAGGTTGGATGATGCTATGGCCAATTTAGACATAACCAATTTCATTGAGCTTTTGGAATGACGGTTAGCTAGTCTTAACGACATACTTGACGAGTTGAAGGGCCGTCTACTCCTTCGAGATGGTACCCATGAACATGGAGAGGTTCACCAGCAAGCAACATAAGATGAATGACTATGTCAATGCCTTCGCTGCAATCATCAATGTATGGGAGGTAATAATTTTGCTAATGTCAAGTTTAGTATTCCATTATTTTCTATTGCTTATGATGTTGAGGCATATTTTGATTCGGGGATGACAGTACAACAGAAGTTTAATTCACACCTAGTTCCATAGGTACATAGGGTTAGTCAAGCTACTGGTGTGTTGAAGGACTTTGCGATAATTTGGTGGAATGATCTAGGTAGTGAACTAGGGTCCCAACCTTCTGATAGGTATTAATAACTCTCGATTTGGTGGAAACTTGACACATATGGTACAGCTTTCGATCAGCACGATCCGTTCAGTGCAATTGCAATACCACGCTCCTCTGGTCATCAACCGTGCGCCGCTCAGTTTGCCTCACCGAGAAGACTAATCATTGCATGAGAATCGAAGAACACAAGTAAGAACAAGGTAGATTGCAACTCAATTTGCAGATGAATGATTAAGATCTCAAAGTTGGGCTTCCACAAACCAAACTAGCGGTGAAACTACAATGGCAAAAATAATCTAAGAAAAATCAGACTATAATATGACAGCTACTAAATAAATATGATTAAGGACATCCTAGGGTTAGCCCTCGGGCGTACACCCCTTGGGCTTAGCTCAGGGCACCATTACAAGAATCAAGGCCCAAATTAGAATCGGACTTGATGAGCTTCGTGGCTTGTTTTGCAGATTCTTGACAGCTTGATAGGAGTTTTGATGTGGGACCAAACCATCTGAAAGTAGATTCCATATGCTTTCCAACAAGTACTCATGGGCCCCGAGATTCCTTCTAGATTAGCGGCTAGGTCCATTAGAAGTTGGCGCTATCACGAAGTCCGAATCTGAATCCAAAACATGCCGAACTTTATATCTTGACTTCCATTGACAGAAAGTGACGTTGTACTGTAGGATAAGACTTGGGAAAGATCTTGGTTTGGTCCCCAATCAACTTATTCGATCAGCCATTTATTATGCCTTGCGCTTGGTCTCTCTCCTTTTACCCAAGCATGTACCTTTGCAAACGAGAACACACAAAACTCATGATGTAATAATGTTTATTCAAATATATAATACGTAAATCTCACATAGAAAGCATGCACCTTTGTTTGATGAATACATAAGGGCCAAGGTCATATCCGAGCTAGTGATGCCATTAACAGGTAGTTCCCACTTACAACCTGGTACATTTGTTCCTCCTTCCTACCTGTGTGATTTGCGTAAGAGATTTCAATGACTAGAACATGGTAATTTGATTGTTCATGAATACTATGAAGAGCTCAATTAGGGTATTAAATGTTGCGGGGTAGTAGAGGAAATAAAGGATAAAATTTGTCATTTTTATCGTGGGTGGAGGCATGAAATTCAAGATATTGTTTATTATAAAGAATATACTATTGTCAATCTTTGTTCTAGCTTCCTATGATTGCAGAGAAAGAGTTGCAGGTACACTAGCAAAAGAACAAAAGCAAGATTAGCAACTCCCTCATGCGAAGAACATCGACCATGATTGCACAAGCTAAGCCATCCACAACTTTTCATACTACGCCACCGCCAGCGAGCACACGACCATCCTCCGCCACTACTACAGCGCGTCAACCGCCACTTGGAGCATGAGTTTTGGATTGGCCGATCTGTTTCTAACATTTGGCAGGTATCTGATAACAACCAAGGTAATAAGGAAGTGAAGAAAGACATACAACAGGACGACCTACCCGTTGTTCTATGCATGCTTCAAGAAAGTTTAATTGAGCTAGCACCTACAATTTCTGAAGATGAGAACATTGATAATGATAATGGTACTACATTTACTCAAGGCGTGCATAGTTATGATGTGCTAAATATGTCTTGTTCTTATGCTATATTAAAGCAACCCATAATGGAAACAATTGATGAAATACCTTTGTCACAAAATAATTTGTTTGTTGTTTCAAGTGATAATGAAGAGTTTAGCGATATTTCACTTATATTCATACCACAACTAGTGAATGAACATGTTAATTCCACTATAATACCATTTGTGTTAAGTTTAAACATGTTATTCACATTGATAGCAACAATGGAGAGCTTAGATTGCTATATTCTTTAAAGAGTAAAATACACCAGCGGTCCTTAAAGTTGTCAGAAGGTTTCACTTAGGTCCACGAACTTACAAAGCGCACATCGAGGTATCATCCCGGTCCAAAACTGCGTTTGACCGTGGTCTTGCCTACGTAGCACGCCATGTGGATGATGACATGGAATTTTTTTCTCCCTTCTTTCTTTTTTTTCTCCCTCCTTCACAACCGAGCCGCTGCCCTCTCCTCTCCTCTATGGGCACGCGTGGCGCACGCGAACGCGCCGCCGCCACCGCACGCCATGGGTGCCGCCACTGCTGGAGGCGAGCGCGCGACGGTGGCGAGCGTGCTGGGGCATGTTGCGACGGGGAAGGAAGATGACGGCGTTGATGGGGGAGGACAGCGGTGGCGATGGGGGGAGAAGGGGTGGCGCCACTGCACGCCATGGCGCCGTCACTGTCGGAGGCGAGCGCGCGGCGGTGACTGGGGGAAGAGGGCCCCCGACGGCTCGGCCGCACCTTGCCGCGCTTCGCCGGCCTGCACCCCACCGACGGGGCCGTCGCCGCCCCCGCCCTCTCCCCCGCCACAACAGCAGCCGGCGCCGCCGCCTTCTCCTCCTCCCTGGTCCTCCTCCGCCACCGGGCGCTTCGCCGCCGCGCTCCTCCTCGTATCCACCATCTCCGCCCCCCTCGCTCGCTCGCATCGACGCGCTGTCCTCGTCGCCGTCGCGGTCCGAGAGGGGAGGGGAGAGACCTCAAGCTCGCCGATGGAGGGGGGGGGAGAGAGCTCAAGCTCGCCCTGCCGCCCCGCTGTCGCCGTTGAGCTCGCGCCTTGCTCGCCGATGCCTCCCCCCTCACGCGCAGCTGCGGTCGGCGACACCTCCCCTCGGGCCGCGGCCGGCAACACCACCCCCCGCACGCACACAGCGCCGCCGTCCTCCTCTCCCAGTCGTCGCTGCTCAAGTCGAGCTCACCCTGCCGCCGTCGAGCTCGTGTCTGCCCCGCTCACGCCGAGCTCGCCAACCCCGGTCGGCAACACCTCCCCCCGCGCGCGCCGAGCTCGCCGACGCCTGCCCTTGTACCTGCCGCCGCCCCCCCTCTTCGCCCCCGCTCCCGTGTCGACCGGCGGAGGCACAGGAGAGAAAAAAAGGAAGAAGGGAGAAAAAAAAAGAAGGAAGAAAAAAATATAAAAAAATTCCATGTCATCATCCACGTGGCATGCCACGTAGGCAAGACCACGGTCAAACGCGGTTTTGGACCAGGATGATACAATAAACCAAGTTTAGGGACCTCGATGTGCGCTTTGCAAGTTCGTGGACCTAAGTGAAACCTCCTGACAAATTTAAGGACCGTTGGTGCATTTTACTCTTCTTTAAATACTTGGATCTATATATAATTTAATGATCCTTGTCCACTCAATTGTATAGAGAATAAACTATTGAATAGATCTGAATTAATATTAATACGTCCTTCTCATGTGGTTTTTTATGTTATTAGTAATTATTATAATAAATGGGAGCATAATATGCATGGAGTACAAAATTATTAACATTTAATAATTTTAACTGACTTAAAAAAAAGAAAATCCGAAATTTCAATTTCTGGGCTAAGGACTTGTTTGTTCTGGTTGGCCATCCATTTTCTGATGATAAAATGAATCAGCTCCTCGAGAGTTTGGTAGAGTACGTACTCTGCAGTACCTGACTTTAGCAGGCTAGCTAGGCCCCAAAGAGAAAAAAGAACCTTTTTTTTCGGTTGGTGTATCCGTGTATGCAATTATATATGCATGTATGGGACGAATTGGCCGATGATAACTTCTTGGGCACTTGCATAATTCCATTCCCTTTTTCCTTTCAATAAGCCAACAGTTTCATTCTTGTAGTACCTCTATATCAAAACCGAAAAGGGAAACAGGATAGCCCTCACGTCACCATATCTCCCAGAAACCGTCGTCGCCATTAGCTGGACTCTCACTACCAACTGGCAATTTGTGACGCGAGAAAGAAACGTCCAGATTTCCAGGTAAAGGGGGCAACGTGTTCTTCGTTCTTGTCATCTTCCGGTTCTAGTCTTCTGGGCAATGACCAGTTCTAGAATATAAAACGGATTATCGAGGAAATGTTTAGTTCAAATTAAGGTTGTGAGCACAATCGCAAATGTATTAATTCATGTTTGGCACTGTTTAAATTAGAAGGTTCTGTGGCAAGTTATATATATGTTCCAGAAAATCCAGTCAAGAAAGGTGTGGTACAGGCACGGAAAAACGGGCAAATGTGGGCCTAGATATGAATTTAGAAGCTGATGCTTTCCTACTGATTTAATTGCTAGACTTTGACATCTGAACAAACAGAGATGGCATCAATACAATGCTAGCTAGAAGCTTCAGTAGCCTCTCTATGATTGACAGCTGAATGCCTGAAAGGTGAGTGGGAAAAACGCCTTTTCACCTCGAAACTTTGACGATAAGAACAAAAAGTAGAACACGGTTGATTCAGAAAGGAGGCATACTGGCTAGGTGATCAAATTGTGTGACTGTGTTCTGTCAATATTATCCTTTTTTTTTGTTTGTTCGAACTCCAAAAAAGTTGGAACTTTCTTTTACAATTAATCTTTGAAAGGTACTTTTTTTTAACAAAAAAAACTTTAAATCACCAAGGTGAAGTTTATCCATAATTCACCCCATATTTCATGAACTTGTGAAACCTATAATGAACAAAAAAAAAAAAAGGACAAGCATTTCTCGATACTCACATCATCATGATCATCATAATAATAATTTCGTAAAAGTAACTCCATAGATCATCTCAGTTAACAAAAACCAGGTTGTACATAAAACATCTTACTAATTACCTAGCAAAACACTCCTAGCGACAAATTAGAATTTATTAAGCACTCTACAGCACACGAAGAAGAGCAACCAAGAACAGCGGGAGCAACACCACCGTCGTGACCATGCTCGCCGGCGTCCGGCCCACCGCCGCCGCCGACGTCGTCGACCCGGTGATGGGGTTGTTGTGCTGGTAGTACCACGGGAACCACGGCAGGATCGGGTTGGGCGGCGGCGGCGCTGGCCCGTACGGGAACCCGCCGCCGAACGGCGGAGCGAAGGCCCCAGGCATCACCCCGGGCGGCGGCGGCGGGTAGGTCCCGCCAAACAACCCGCCGGCGCCGCCATCGCCTCCACCTGAGCTGCTGCTGCTACTACTCCCCGCGGGCGGCGGCGGAGGGTAGCTGTTCACCGCGCCACCGGCGATCGGCGGCGGGAGGCACGGGTACGGGCAGCTGCCGCCCGGCGTGTCCGCGGCCACCGTCGCGGCGGAGTACATCGCGCCGGCGAGGACGGCGGCGACGGCCAAGAAGCGTGGACTGATCGACATGGCTAGATAGCTAGCTAGCTTGCGTACGTGAGAGAGGATTGTGAGGGGAGAGATCGATCGAGGTGGACACCAATGGCACTGCGTGTATGAGTAGTAGAAGTGGTAGGTGGAAGCAGTGGTTGCACCGAGCTCGCCGCGAGGACGATGGCTTTTGGTTAATGGGAAATCCGGTGGAAATCGCGAGCGGATGAGAGGAAATCATTCACATGCAGCGAGAGCGACATGGGAGCAGCCCAAGCTTGAGCGGGTGTGCGGCCACAGCGGCCCATGTAAGGCGCCTAGCTCCATCTGAGGCCGCGAGGAAAGTTTGTGAAAGCATCATATAAATTTTGTTAGTTGTTGCAGGAAATTTGTTGGTTAATTAATTTTGTCCAGCAAGAATTTTGTCATGGTTAACAGTTTTGAGAGTTTCTTATGTGCCTGGAATTAATTACAACAATTGATCGCCTATAATCCATTGCACTATAGTGAAAGGTATACTTAAAGGGTGGAAGGTTAATATAAATAATTGACTTTTACAATTTTTTCGTGTAGTTAATTAATGGAAAATACATGCAATCATATTTTACCTAGATTCAGGATTTGAGAAGAATCACCGGTAGATTCGGATATGAGATATTGTGGTCAAAAAAGTTGTCAATGCTAGTACAGTGGATGCAAATTAGTAGTAACATGTCTCAGTATGTTGCTTAACTAGTTTCTCTCTCTGCTTGATCTGCTTAATTAAATGCTCAGCGATTAACAACAGAATATTTTCTTTGGTCATGCTAGTAATTAAGCGCATCAATTTCGCAAGAAATCAATTACTTCAAACTTTCCATTTAACAGCTTTGGAGCTAATCAATGATTCGCAAAAATGAATAAATGCTACTCCCTCCGTTTCATATTATAAGACTTTCTAATGAATCTGGAAACTCAAGGTACTGCTGAAAATTAAAATTTTTTTGTGGTACTTAAGAAGTGGAGTAATCCTAACAAAAGACAATTTGGTCAAGAGAAAATGGAAAGGTAGTGTTAAATGCTGTTTTTGTGATTCTAATGAATCAATACAACATCTTTTCTTTTCTTTGATTGTCCTCTTGCACGATTTATGTGGAATGCTGTCTTCATTTCTTTTGGAATTCATCCGCCTAGGAATGTTGCTAGCTTATTGGGTAATTGGCTAAGGGGGGTTCAACCTAAGCTAAAAACTCAAGTCTTTGTAGGGGTCGCAGCGTTGTGTTGGGCGGTATGGTTGTGCAGAAATGATATAGTCTTTAATGGCTCCAACACTAATTTCTTGTTGCAGGTGATTTTCAGAGGGACTTTTTGGGCAAGACAATGGTCTTCGCTGCTTAAGGAGGAAGATGGCCAAAGAGTAAAAGATGGTTGCAAGATATTGGAGAAGAGAATTTCTAGTTTCTTTGCAATGAGAGGGTGGAACTTAAGAAGAAGATTAGAAGTTTAATGCTCTCTCTTCTTTGCACCATGGGGTTTTGTTGTCTTAAGTACTATTTTGGCTAATCTCTGTCATTGTCTAAGTATCCGTTTGTGGTCACTCGAATTTGTGTTAAACCTTTTGTAAGGGTGTGAGCCTAAGTGCTTGTGTAAGAGACTTTTAGGCTGTGTACATCCTTTGGGTGTAGAGGCCGGTTTAATCCATCATCTAAAAAAAAGACTTTCTAGCATTACCCATATTCATATAGATGTTAATGAATCTATACACATATATATCTAGATTTATTAATATCTATAAGAATGTGGGTAATGATAGAAAGTCTTATAATATGAAATGGAGGAAGTACTATGTAACCTTCATCAGCAGCCAGCATCCATTAGCAGCATCTGCATCACGCAGCATTCAGCAACAATAAGATCAGCCATCGTACTGTGCACGCTCGCACTCGGCTGCCCTTTTCCTCGCTCCTTCTTTCTCTTAGGGTTAGACAGATGGAGTGGGTTAACGATCACATTGGCATAGGATGTCCGCCACTAGCCAGCGGATGGGCAATTGACTGATTGAGGAATTACTAAGCTACCTTTGTTAACATTAATTTTTATTACTACATTACTCTTTATCCTTTAGAAATCAACGGTGGATATTAATTGGTTTAGAGGTACCTGGGTTATACCTCTTATACCTCCCAAGCACAGTAAAAGTCCTCAACAATTTTACTCTCTATATGGAGCAGTTCATATAACTAAATATCTCCATTTCAAAAGGGAGACTACCCGCATATATTCGAGGCATATAAATGTTCAGAGCTAACTATGTGTCAGGCAGTCGATTTGGCACAAAATATCAGGCACCACCTGCCGTCCGATTCACACCGCATGCGGTTATCCCCAAGATCCTCACGCCCTACATGCTATGCTCATTTTTTTTGCATTAAGTAGATCGTAAATCAGAGCAATAGTTTATGAAAGAAAAGTTGAAAGTAACCTAAAGACTTTATACATGTGGACAGAGAGGATAAGATAGTCTGACGTTCATGTAGTTTTTTCTCTATGTTTCTATGTTTTTATTTACTTAGGTAAATGTCATAGTGCATGTTGTTTCCCAGTCAAGTCGATACCCGTCCCTGCTTCACTAGGGCAACCACGGCATGTGTCCACGACATGCCCCATCATGTCGCGGGATCTCCTCCTAATTGGGCCCATCACTTCCATGAGTTGTCATCATTCATCAAGCCCTATCGCCAGCCGCCACCATGGGTCTCCATCATCCAACCCCAAATACCACTTCACGTTCAGATCTGAGTTAGCAGTGACGTTGCTGCAGCTGGTAGTTAGGCATGCCAACATGAAAATATTCGTGTCATCACTACTATAGAATAGCCTATTGATGCCCGTTGGGAACCGGCCTTAGGTGCCGAATTTCCCAACCGGCACTCTGGAGGCGGCACTGATGACTGGGGAATCGAAAGGCACCGGTTTAGGAACCAACACCATTGAGGTTTCAGGATTGAAAAAAAAAGATCGGCTCGAATGCATCGATAAGTTATGTGGACATTGATTTACCAAGACATGCATCATGACAACACTAAACAACTGATATTTGATAATGGAATTCAACCCTTAATTAGCTACTAACATCTGGGTCCTGACTAAAGGAGATCTATTTATTAACCTAGCTAGCACAATGGCCATCTTGGGAGCTGGCCAAACCATCGGATTATTCCCATATGCATACAGTATGTCATTGTGACCTCGGCTACAGTGCAACACCCCCTTTTTATTTGGACGCATATGTTCAACCTATTTGTGAGGTTAGTCATTCCCAAATTAATTGAGGAATGACTAACCTCACCAATCTTGTCATCCATTAATCTCCTCGACATGGAAGATGGCAACATAGAAAACACAATATTTATTAACATACCTCAGTAGAAGACTACATTTTTGGGGCTATATACGACTGCTCTTCGGTAATCAACATAGCACACCAGCTGCTATGCCATGGACAAACTACCAACCTCCCTTCAAATATGTGTGCTACACCACCGTTATTGTGATGTATGTGGTGCCTCCAGTTCAAGAGTTCGAATACTAACTCAATCCTCACCATTATTATAAATCCACATACATCCGTAACTTGTTAGCACTAATATATTACATTCCAACAGTTTCATTGGTTTTATGCTAGCTATACAATACTTCCTAGAAGTATAGTTGGCTATAGCGTTTAACTGAGAAGCTTCTCTCAGGGGAAATTATTCATACAACTAAGAATGCAAATTATGTGAAACGATATGTTGCTGTAGCATTGTTAGAGGTTCATATATATAACCACTACGCATAATCAAGTATGTTCTGAATGATATATGTTATATGAAACCGTCTTGTTTAATTTCCATGGCAAAGGAACCTAAAGAACTCATCAAGACTATATCACAAGCTATGTTTTCATCAATTGATCATGCATGCCCCGAAATACTCCACAATTCTCCATGTGCGGCAATGATTTTATACCCATCAAGTGTTTCATGGGCACAGTAAACAGCTAGCCCTGATCGGTTGACTGGTTATAGAAGAGTGATTTTCATGTGGGCCTGATTACAATTATGTTATGTGCAATCTCAAACAAGAAGAAACATTGAGACATCTTTTCTTGTGCGCAACTCTTCTGTGATTTTGTTTTCCCAATAAGAATGATAAATGTTTTATTTAGGAAGCTATTGAAGATTTCAAAGTCAAGCAAAAATTAAGTCCCATTATACAAGGAGATAATAATTGGAACGGCCTGGAGTATTTGGATTATGAGAAACATAAACCCACTTTCTCAACTTGTAGAGATCGTTTCAGATTTGAGTTTGCCGTGGTTATCCATAGGGCAAAAGAAAGTTATTTCCACCTCATTACACAACGGATGAAATACATGTAATACAAACAATCTGTGTACATTGTAAAACAATATATTTATATATATGTGCATGGTAGGAAACTTCCCTACGGCATTTTTTTTTCCAAAAAATGATTTTATATTCAAACATATCACTTAAATGGGCGCCCTTCATTTTCTAATTTTCACTACGAGAAAAAGGGTTTTCTCATGGTGGCACCCTAATTTTTTTTACTAGCGGCCAAAATCTAACTCCGCTTGCGAAAATATAATGAGGGGTAGGGGTTAAGGGCTGCCAGCGCTGATGATCACCAAGGTCCACTTGCAAAAATATAGTTATTTTTGTAGGCGGACCTCTTAAGTGACTGCTGTGAAAAATTGATTTTCGCTAGCGGCCGGTAGAGAGGACCATCAGGAAAAAAATCACCATATTAAAGGGGAGTCCGTGCCACAACCCTATCTAAGTCCCCTTTCCTCCCTCACCATTTCTTCCTCCCTCTCCCTTCTTCTGCCTCCTTCCCCATTGGCGCCGCTCGGAGCTTGGGCTCCTCCTCCTTCCCCACGGGTGGGCCCGTCTCCTCCTTTCACATGGGCGGCAGCGTCCACGAGAAAAGCTTGGGTGACCCCATTCCCCACAGGCACGCCCTCCATCACCCTTCCCCACGGTGGCGGCGTCCACAGGCAGCAACGGAGATTGGGCGACTCCGTTCAGCGGCGATGGATCCGGCGGCCGCAACTCTGTTCGGAGGCAGATCCGGTAGCGGCGACCCCGTTCAGAGGCGGATCCGGAGGCGGCAACCCCGTTTGGCAGCGGATCCATTGGCAGCCACCCTGTTTGAAGGTGGATCTGGTGGCGGAGACTCCGAGGGCATCGATTCCCATGGATGGGGAGCTGACCTCTACCCTCCCTCCCTCTGGCTTGGACCGATCCGCGCTCATGGAAGATGGATACGGTGACGGCGAGGCTAACAAGGATGGACATGGCGACGGTCGTGCATGCCTTGCTCCGGGACCTTTGGCATAGCTCAACAAGCAGGCCAAGACCGGTGTTGGAGCCTGGCGTCATCATCGTGGTTTCGAGCACAGATCTGGATCCTGATTTTCAATTTTCTTTTTGCTCCAAAAATGTTTTCGCTGGCGGTTCTCCTAGATGCCGCCAACAAACATACTATTTTTGCTAGTGGCTGTCTTAGCATGCTGTTTGTCAAACTCGATTTGCACTGGCGGCCGGTCGGCCACTAGTTAAAATGCATTTATTTCACTAGCCTTAGACTGCTAGCGGCATCACTGTCCGCCAGCGAAAATACATTTTGGCCTCTAGAGAAAACCATTTTTTAGTAGATTTGGTTTGGCTCTCTTGTCCTCCTTGAGGATCTATATTGAGATTTAAGAAACCTTGATACGGATGTGTTGTGTGGAAACAATCTACCTCATATCGAGGCCAAGTGACATGAGATAACTACATAAGAAAGCTCTCCTGTTTTAGCTAAGTTCTATACATGTTTAGTACTCAAGTTCTCTAATTCCTCTTATGGATATTTGTGAGTTGAGATATATCATAGAAAATAAACAATGGATGTTCTGCCCATGCTTTACTTGCTCCCTGTGCACAAACATCCCTTTCAAGATGGTTGGCGGCCACGAATTACACCAAAATGAATACGTGGATGTAAATTAACCACGATTACGAGTATTACCTCCATAACATCTAGTAACACTAAAATGGTGTACATGTATTGTTGGAGCGAAGCAATGCTGTGATAACAATCGCAAAGTGAAGACGGGCCAAAAGCTATACCAGACGGGCCAAAAGCTGAACAGTACAGTACATTGGCCACACATAGTGTTGGCCACACCTGTCGGTTTCATGGTTAATGTTGAGGGGGGGCTATGTCAAACGGTTCATTTTTATTTTTGTTATTTTTTCTCAAAAAATATTTTCTGATTTTTTCTATGGTACATGTACTATAGAAATGGTAGGTATGAACTGAAGGGCACGCTATTCTAGAGTGTGTGTACCATCAATGATATGTAAGACCACCCATGAATGGATGCTTTTTCCTTGGCATCCATCCTACTTTGCTACTCCCTCCGTTTCACAATATAAGTCATTCTAGGATTGCCCACATTCTTATAGATACTAATGAATCTAGCCACATATATGTCCAGATTCATTAACATCTATATGAATGTGGGCAATGCTAGAATGACTTATATTATGAAACGGAGGAAATAATTCATTTTCTAAGCTTCCTGCTATTCCAATCTGGTAATTATTAATTACTATATATAAATAAAAGATTGGCACGCATTCTTATCTAGTCAGTTTCTCTTCATTACCTTTTTCATCCTTTTGACATTTATTATACCCCTTTATTGTCATAAAGGGGTAAAGACAAAGAAAAAGTAACTTTTTTTGTTATTGCTTGTTTCTCATAAGGAGATAAAGATGGACACAACTAAAACTCTTTCGTCCAAATCTCACCCAGGTAGCCAATATATATTTAGAGGGGAACCAGATTTGCCCTGTGAGAGCTAGAGCAATCAGATCATCCTCATTGTATCCTCTACTCATGGATGTAAGCTCTTGTGACTCTTCACCTTTTGAATCTTGAGTTTTTCTTCTAGCCAAATCTTGAGCTAATCCCTTGCGAGATACTGTATGTTTTTAATCCCTTGGGAGAACTTTTGTATGTGCTCATAATCTCTTAGATGTTCCTTATTGATGTATTCCAGTACACTTCTATTTTTTATGCACTTGGGTTTGTATTTGTTCATCATGTTGATGGTTTTTTTTTTCTGAAGTTATAGACTGTTCCAATTGATTTTTTTTTCTGAAGAGAAGAAATTATCTTTGTTGCTGTTCAAGAGATCTTCCAAATAATATATAGTTTTTTCGTTCTTCATTATGCCAATAAATTTTTAGTTGCTCTTTCCATGTTGATATATTTCAACCCATATCCTATTTTGTTGTACATAGATCTAGATCTATTTTTTTTCAATCCATGTGATACTTTGGAGTAATTGATTTCTCCCATGACAGTAATTTTTTTTGTTGAAGATAAATAATTATCCTTCTGTCCGTTTAGGAGTCTTTCGGATAATGGCTAGCTTTTTTCTACGTGATTTCCATAATTTCTAAGTTTCCCCTTTTATGCTTACATATACTCTTACCTATATCTATTCTTTATGTACTTCGACATGGATCTAGATCTATTATTATTTTTGTTGATGGACCATTGGTCTGATAATTTGGAATGGGTCATTTCAGGACAAGAACTTTATGTTTAGGATATATAAATAATTTTGCGTGATTGTATAGTAGATATTTCAAATCATAGTTCTTTTTGTTCTTCACTGTGTTTATAATTAGTTACCTGTTCTTAATTTATCATGGTGATGTATTTTTATCTAGATCTATTCTTTTCTGTTGATGGTCATTTGAAAGTGACATTTTAGAATAATTGGCTTTCTTTCATGAGCATTCATACTATTTTTGTTTGCAAACCGTCAAAAGATAACCCAAATAATAACTAGTTCAGTTGTTCTTCAATTATCCTCCATTTTTTAGATGAAGAAATGGCTGAGGCCTCTAGTTGATTGTCTGACATGTGAATAAATATCTCATAATCTACCATCCAAATACAGATCAGATAAAAACAATATGATTTCAATGTGGTGAATCTCCTGAATTTTGTATATATGTACTTACTTTTACAGGTCTAAACAATCATGTATTATTCCAGGGCAGAACACTAATGTGTGTAATACCAAACTTTAGAAAAAAAAATATTCATGTGTCTTTTGTTCAAGACCAAAAATATGAAGCATTTCTATTGTCTTTTATAGAGTAGTTAAGTAAGAAGTGAGCACAAATCTTCGTACTGCAGATTGGTTACAATATTGAGCAAATGAGCATATTTGGCTTACTTAGCATATTATACTATTTACACTATGTGCATATCTCATGTACGTATGCAATCGGCGGGAAACAATTATAGAACTCAATAAGAAAATGGCTTGTACTTGCTTTCTTTCACAGTACTTTCCTATTTAAAGTTGGTATCAACGTAATTACTACTCCCTCCATTCCAAATTGATCTTATAGGTACATAAAGACCAAGAAAAGCTAATAACTCTCTCATACTATATTTACTCTAGCAACAAACTCAATGCATGCACCATCCCCAATATTTTCTAGCCAATAGCAAATCAAGATATTGCATGTGGGTTATAAATACTTGTGTGCATAGATGCATGTATCAATGTCCATTTACTCCACTGCACAAATAACGAATAGACTCTAATAAATGAACACAAATATGTAGATCATTTAGGAATAACCTAAAAAAAACTATATGTAGATCAATTTGGAATGGAGGGAGTATATGATATATAAATGAAATCTTTTTTTTTTTGCTATAGCATGGTTCAGACATCAATTACTGATGCATTATTTGGAATTGCTGCCCGTACCATGATATCCACAAAAACTTCTTAGTACTTCTATTCAGAAGTGTGAATAATACAAAGCTTTGCACTAATTTATTTCTCTAACATATAATAAGTCACTGAAGTTGTTGTGCAGTGAAATGGAGGGTACACCAAACAAATCAGTTCAAAGCTTCGCTGGCTCGAGAACTGAGAAATCTACCGGGTCTAGTCATCATAGAGAAGCAGAGCAAAATGACAGTTTTACAAGAAGGGAATATACTTGTGCTGATTTTATTGAAGCACTTCGCTTGATTGATCAGGTACTTCTTTTTGAAACAAGCATAAGTTTTTTTTTCATGTACTTTTCTTGAACTAAGATAATTTACTATATTTTTAAGATATATCATCAGTACATTCTATCAGATACTCTATTAAAAAAATCTCATACGTCTTTGTGTTTTCATACTACACTGCATTAATTATTGGCATTTCGTCCTTCAGATCTACTTTACATATAATAAGAAGAAACATATTTCAACCAAAAATTCATTATGTGATTTGATTAGTTACATATACTCAAGTTTAACTAAGCTAATGATTAGTAAGCCCCAGCATTAAACATGTTTATACATTATTGGCAAATGCAATACAAAAATTATTATCTAGAATTGTTCGCTCTTCCTCAGGTATATGATTATTGCTTATTCTGATGAATTGGAAGCTTGCAAAACACTTTTGCATAAAAAATATTATTTGATGTGCACTTCTACGCTAGATAATAACTAACTAAAATATATATTAAGAATAATATAATCACATATATAACATCTAATGCGATGGTATGCGTAGCAGGGCTGTCCCTAACAATTTGAGGGCCTTCTGTAAAATATAAAATGAGTATTTATCTTTAGAAAATAGTAATTGCATAATTGATCAAGGCTATATATTATTTATAATACATTAGGATGGGTCTATATTACCACTGATTTTTGCTTTGCCTTCCAACTATGCTTGGAAAGCTAGCAACAGTCTGATAATCTTTTCTTTAGCTATGTCTTGATATCAAACAAACAAGAATTGTTCACACCCAATGACAACTAGAGCCATGTCAACAAGATCAACCATGTACATATGTAGTGGCGTTCCAACTAACTAGAAGAAGAATCATTGCAACAATTCAGTTTTTTCTTACTAAATGGAAAAATGGAATCTTATTTTCTAGAATGAGCGTTCACATAGCCATCACAAAGTAAAGTTATTTGATATAGTTATGATTACCATCAAACAATTGTCGTGGTTGAGAAGAAAACAACACGTTCTAGCCAATTTAGTGAAACAAAAAGGTTAAATTTTTGAAAAAATTGAATCAAGAGATTCTAAATATAGCGAAACATATTGATTTAAGTTGAAACACATAAATTTTTGGGGCCCTAGCTATATGGTTGTACACCTCAGACGTGCCCAGGGATGGGCCTGATGTGTAGTCTAACTTAATTTGGGGCAACGACAGTCCATTCTGCATATATACCCTTGTTCCGAAAAAGTTTCATGTTATCCATCTTTGAAGAATTTGCTTCTGATATGCTATTTATGTGTTTCTTCATAGGAGGCATTCAAGTGTAGCATTGTTCTGAATGACTTCTCCATGCGAGCAAACATCACTGAACCATCTTACCGCACAGTGAAATTAGATGGTATCTGCTCAACCTTTGTTTCATCAGTTTTAGCTGGTGGATATACCTACACAGGTGAGGTTGCTACCACTGATGGAGATGCAAAGGAAAATGCAGCCCGTGTGGCGATCAAGTCAATCCTTGGTAAGTGATATCCTTAATCATTTTATGACCAATATATGACAAATTCAAATGCTTCAGAATTTGGAAATTTTAGCTTTAGCACTACCTATGGCTCTAATAATATTATAATTACCTCAACATATATATCACAAACTCAACAGTAGATATTATTGCAGTTACTAGAAGCAACCACATGTTGGAGAGCATCAGGTCAAACAAACCAACAGGAACAACAATACAAGGAGAGCAGTCAAGCCAGCAGACAAGTGCCCATCCTGCAGTAATTTTCACCCCACCTGCTAGTAATAACATCCCTTGTGCTCCCCACCATCACTATATGCTGCATGCGCCATTTGCTCCTCTTGAACAGATGCAGTGGCGCCATCCTGGTACTCCACAGATGGTGCCGGTTTTTCCTCATGAACAGATACAGTGGCGCCATCCTACCCCAGTACATATGCCATTTCATCCCCATGAACAGATGCAATGCCGCCAATCCCCTGCACCAATGCCGTTTCTTCCCCGTGAACAGATGCAATGGCGCCATCCCGCTGCACCAATGCCAACATTTCCTCCCCATGAACAGATGCAATGGCATAATCCTGTTGCACAGATGGCATATCTTCCACCTGAACAGATGCAACGGAATGTTCCAATTGTACACACACCATCTGAAATGATGCAAATGTGGCAGCTTCCTCAATCAATATCCAGCTCTAATCCTGTGCTGCAAAATGGGCTTTACTCGAATACAGGTGGCGATGATGACATGGTAGTAGAGGTTGGTTCCGCTGAGGAGACTATGACTTTGAGTGGTACTAAGCGCAAAATGGACCAAACTGAAGAGGCAGAGGGCAAGCAGGCAAAGATCTCCAAGTAGCATCAATTTATCAAGTATCTACTTCTTGAGGTATCTATTTATTCATTTTATTTATTTCTATGAAGTGAGGTATGTTGTTTTAGTTTACACTGTTAAAATTTATTTGTATTAATACTCAAAGAGAAGGATATAGTTAGGTTATAACTGAAGTTTTTTTTTGTGTGTGTGTGTGTATGTTTGTGTGTGTGTGTGTGTGTGTTTGTGTGTCTCTGTGTGTGTGTGTGTTTTTTTTTTGATATGTGATTTTGTGTGTCTGTGTGTGATTCTTTCATATGTGACTTTCTGAAATATTCTCTTTTCGAAAAGTACAGTTTGTTTAATTCAAAAATGGATTGATTTTTACAGGAACCAATTGTGATGAGCATTCTCTGCACCATATCGATGATCCAGATATGATTCCCCGTGTTGGAGACTTGGAGTGGTACTGTTCATCTTAAATTTGGTCTCTCTGCAAACATTAAGTTTATGGAAATGTAGAAGACTTTAAGCTGTTTCTTTAGTGAGGCTAGCAAAACTATCATAAACCATATGCTCCTGTAAGATCAGCTGTTGACAAGTACCGTTTATCATTTGAATATTTGTGTGCAACCTCTTATATAGCAGCCTTTGGATTTTGTGGTATCGGCGATTAATTTGTTAAGTGATGGTAACTTCGTTTTAGGAATCACTTGGGTTATATTGTTCTCCGTGGAAGTCAAAAATCCTAAATTTGACGTCCATGCTTGCATTGTTAGGTATTTGCGTATATACTACTCTCTCTGTTCTATATTATAAGTCGTTTGAATTTTTTAAGTTTGATCAAATTTATAGAAAAATAAAGTAATATGTTCAACAAAAAAAATATTATCAAAATATATTCAAACGTTAGATTTAATGAAACTAATTTCGTATTTTAGATGCCATTAAATTTTTCTATAAATTAGGTCAAACTTAACAAAGTTTGACTAGAAAAAAAATCAAACAACTTATAATATGAAACGAAGGGAGTATATATTATTTTCCTTGAAAAAGGTAGAAAATTAGGATACAATCGTCCCAAATGCTACATACAACTGTTTTTCGATTACATGAAAGAAGCAAACGTACACATATCACTACACATACATATGCTTCTAAACACATAATTAAAATAACGGATAACAGCGGCAACTTAGCCTTAATAAAATCTTATTACATGTAAACATATATGAGTAATTTTCGTATACACCCGGTTTTAAATTTTGATAGATCTACTACCTCCGTCGTAAAAGAACCCAACCTCGTAGCTATGTATTCGGCCGTCCACCCTAAAAAAACAAACTTCAGGGAAAAAAAACAATGGAGGGAGTAGTATTTTGCTCATGTTGCAATCGATTCAGCTCTAACAGTCTAACATATGTGCATGCGTGCTTAAATCTTAATGAGTCCTGGTGGGTTGAAGAATATGTTCCCAAACACATGGTTGCATATTCATGACGGATAATTCAGTTTCAAGAGTACTCATCGTTCAATTTTTTGCATTACTGAATCAATTTTGTATCGGACTGAACGCGTGCTTCATCCACACAGGAGTATATATAGGACTATAGGAGTGTCCTAGCGTAGTTTTAGTTGTTTTTTTCTGTTTAATCAGTTGCTGTAGCAGCTGAGATCCGATCGTGGGATGGCGTGATCTTTGTGAATCAAAGCGACAGTTTAGGCGGTAGTACTGTTGTGTCTAACAAAACCCTGGTTCAGATATAAATAGTAAGAATAGAACCGAAGAAAAGCTGCCTTACGCATCACAAAACTCTATTTTGTGCGTTGTTCTTCAGTTTCGTCAGGTTACTTACTGTAGCCATTCGAAAATTTCGGAGCAGAGCCATAGAATGAATGGCAGAGCTGAGTGATTTAGGTTTTAGCCACAAAACACGACAATCGGTATCAGAGCGGTTTATAATCGCTGAATCCTGATTCCATGCCAACTGACGAGGGAAATTGGTACACCCGCCGCCACGGCGAGGAAGCGGTGGTGGAAGCGGCAGCTGGAGCACTGGAAGCGATGGGTAGCTTGGTGATGCAGCTAGCCGTTAAAGCTATTTGCTAAATGTGAGCTCAGCAAGACGAGATCATGACCATAATATATCCAAATCTTGGGGACGGGATTTATTTTAAGAGGATAGAATTGTAAGATATAGGTCCACTTTAATTTCCTTAACAATAGGTCCAATCTGATTTATATCCCTCAACCACGATACCAGATATCAAGATCCCGGACAATTAAAACCGGTGCAATTTTACCCTTTCTACTGTTTTGAGGGTGGGTTTTGCTGACGGCGCTTCAGGCAGAAGGCGCCGAACAGCACGCCGGTTGGGAGGAGGCGCGGAACCCCCACCATGTCATCCTCTCTTTCCCATCTTCCTCCTTCCCTCTCTCTTCTCCTCACTCTCGCCACCAAACAAGTCGTCAGCCGCCATGTCATCCTCTCTTTCCCATCTTCCTCCTTTCCTCTCTCTTCTCCTCACTCTCTGGCCACCAAACACGTCGTCAGCCACCAGCAACGCAGCCTGTCATGACAACTTCTCTGTTTCGCTTGCTCCTCCGCATCCAAGCCATGTCTCATTTTGCGTTGCGCTCTTCGGTGCCATAGCCAGCAGCATAGCTCGAAGATTCACTGCGGCGGTAGCTCCATCCACCTCCACAGTGCGCCAACCACCGAGGAAAACGGGAACTACAACCGCCATAGCAGCAGCGATGCCTCGTACCCTCCCGCTCGCTAGGATCAAGGAGGTCGATTCAACGTTGACACCCAAGCAAGTGATTGCATGGTGACGTGCTAGAGAAGAAGGCAGAGAAGAGGAAAAAGAGCAGCGAACAAGCGCCACATTGCCTTGTCGTGTTTTGCCCATGCATCCAGCCACAAGGAAAGGAAGGAAGCAGCAGCATTGCGCTCGCCACTGTCCCTCTCTTGGTGCCCCTCCTTGCCACTATTTCCACAACTATCATCATCTCAACTCCTCACATTAGATAGATATCATATTCATGGAATATGATTCACTTTCAAGATGCCTTGATGGTAAAATAGTAGACACGCGAGACTCAAAATCTCGTGCTAAAGAGCGCGGAGGTTCGAGTCCTCTTCAAGGCATAATACGGAGAATGCGCATTCAATGAGCATTCCCCGTAGAAGTATTCCGGAAATCTGCGCCTGGCGCTCTCCTCTATCTTCTGAGGTCCTTAACCACTTCCCTGAGAAAAGGAGACAGTAAAAGCCAAAATAGACTAAATATAGCCTGAACGATCCTAAAAATCCCTCGAAGGAGATAATATAATAAAGAACCCAAAGCAGACGGTATTCACCGGCTAGGGGATTCGTCGAGTGGCCTGACTATACGGATCTGGATCGTAGGCCACCACCACATCCGGTCCGTCCCCCCTCGTTTCGAACACACCGATATCTGCCTTCGCATTCCACTGGATTTCTCAAGATACAGTTGATCGGGCCTCTCCATCTCCATGGATATCGCTGGCGTGCTGGGGCCTGGGGGCCTGTGTCCTTTCCACTACCTTTGTCCCAAAGCCCCCGCCTCGCCCCCCCCCCCTCCCCCCTCTAGCTCCGACCGCCCTATCATTGCCAAGAGGAAATATGGGGAGAGAGGAGTAGAGAAGGAAGGAGTCACTGACATGTGACCTCGCATGCTGACTAAGCCGGTTGGACCAGGTCAACAAGCCATGTTAACGAAAATCACTTTCAAAACCATCGAAGGAGCCATTTTAAGCTGATTTTAATTATTAGTTAGGAGGTTAAGAAATCTCGTATTGCGGTCGAAGGATACAAGTCAAATTGAAACTATATTTTGAGGGAGTTAAGTAGACTTATTCCTCCATAGATCTAATGGTCAGTTTCGGTACACATTCTGCCTTCTCCTTTAGGCAAAGTTATATCTCTCTTATTAATTTCTGCCAAAATAAATGCACGGTCAGTTTCTTCTTATTTTTTTTGTATTCTCTGCGTGACTACTTCAGCTTGAATTCTTCAAGGCAAGGTCATCAGTGATCATGATCGACCATATGCTGCAGTGCTGCAATCCTCAGCATCAATGCCAGTTTAATTGTCAGAGGTGTGTTCCATATGCTACATGCTGTGAAAGTTGGCGTGTCCTAGTAGCTTAGGGAAAGAACCAAAAGCTAGCCATCGCGCAGGAACAAAGGTACATCGTGCATATGTACTTAAGCTTTTGCTGCTTATCTAATTCCTTATCCTGAACAACCGGACTGTCTCTCCACTGATTCGCGCCAGATCAGCACGTATGTATGCATGCGCTATTACGTGATGTTTAGGGAAGAATCGCAGTTTAATTAATTTCTTAATTAATTCTCGCTTTTGAGGCAGCAGCATGTGATTAATCCCACATACGCGAGGATCACACGCTGAGCAAGAGCAGCATAGTGCGAGAGATCGAATGGATTCCAAGAAGACGACGACGCAGAGCGAGCCGAACGATGGGGTGCAGGCGCCGCATCGTCCCGAGCTGCTCATGGCCGCCCGCCACGGCGATCGCGACCGGCTGAAACGTCTTCTTGGCACGGTGTCGCCGCCGGTGGCATTGCCGGTTGGGGAGGTCGTCCTCCATGTCGAGGACGTTGAAACCGTCGGTGTGGGTGTCGACGACGACGACGACGCCGAGCCTACAGCTGCGGTGGTAACATCGGCGGAGGCGGTCACCGTCGCGCTGGACTCCGTCCTCCACGTGGTGGCGTCCAGCGGCGACGAGCCCGCGTTCCTGGAGAGCGCGACGGCGGTCCACGCCAGGGCCAGCCACCTCCTCGACGCCGGCAACGGGAAGGGCGACACGCCGCTGCACTGCGCCGCCAGGGCCGGCATGGTCAGGATGGTCTCCCATCTCCTGGACCTGGCGAGGAGGGGCGGCGGCGGCGGCGTCGCGGGCGACGCGGCGGCGAGGGCGTTCGCGAGGAGGCGGAACAGCAAGGGAGAGACAGCGCTCCACGAGGCCGTCCGTCTGGGCAGCAAGGCGATGGTGGAGGCGCTGATGTCCGCCGACCCTGAGCTCGCCCGCGTCGTGGCGGCCGACGGCGGCTCGCCGTTGTACCTGGCCGTCTCGCTGGGGCGCCGCGACGACATTGCACGGCTGCTGCATGAGCACGACAGGGGGCTCTCGTACGCTGGACCGGACGGGAATAACGCCTTGCACGCCGCTGTTCAGAAAGGCAAAGGTAATTAACTGTTCTTTTTTTTTCTTATTTATCAGTCATTTTTTCAACTCTAGATCTATATTTAATAATTATTAGTACTTCTTGCATCCACAAACATAAGTGACTTTGACCCTTTCATATAGTTTCCACAAACACCTCACTTGTGTCCATTGAATCCATCAACATGTCACTTTCTTTTTACTTCATTCCTGTTAAATATGGCAAAAGTACAACAAGAATCACCTCGGTTGTATTATGTTTCCTAGCTTAGTTTTTGCTAAAATTGGCATATAATCCCTTATATTTGTGGATGGAGGGGTACTTATGTTCTTGTTGTGAAACAAAATGACGGACTACCTTCCTAGGCAGCTATATCCTAAACTTGATTAATAGTTATGAAAAAAATAAGGTCAGAAGGAATAATCTTCATATTTAAAAATACTTTTATTTTCATCAATACCAATACAAAACTGAAAACATAATATAGATGAACAAAAAGTGCTTTATAGATTATTTTAGAAAATAAAATAGAAGTAAAACTAATTGTTGCAGTAAATATCTGTAGTGAAGTTGCAGATTGTATATCGTGCAAGTTTAACGTATACTCCCTCCATTCCATGATAGTGCACAACCACTTTTATTAGATATTTTATAATATAAGGCATGTATGCAAGCATGCAATTAAAAGCAAGGCTAATAATACAGCCGACCTGTTAGTTATAAGGTTCTTTATAACTTTCTCTCAGCCTACTCGTATAATAGTTAGCTCTTTAAAATTAATACAGGGCCCACTTGTCTCTCTCACAGCGTTTCTTAGTTTTTTGTTTAAGCCGGCTGTAAGTTTACAGCTCGCTTCTCCTTTCTCTCCTCTCTTCTCTCCTACACGTCATCATTTAGTCGGCTTATAGCCTACTATTATACTTGCTCTAACTATGGCATCTTCTCCATTAAATTATTACTTTTTTAAATCCTCCACTCTCATGTTATCTAATCCAATAAGGATGCATGCAATATACTTATTAGGATAATCCAAACTACAAGACGATAATAATTATTTCTTGGTCTTTGGGTTAAGGGTGGTTGTGCCATATATTTTGGAATGAATGGAGTATATATATATATATATATATATATATATATATATATATATATATATATATATATATATATATATATATATATATGCTGTGCAATTTAAGAAACAAAAACACAAGATTTAGTTAGGTAAATTAACCTCAAAAGTGGATACGAAATTGAATAAGAGATTTGACCTAGCTTTTGACAGAAAACCTGGCCCAAAAACATCAAAACGTACAATTAATTGGGAGAAATCAGCGAAGAACTCACACGGAGAACAAAGAAACTAACCACTTATGGCGGCACTATCACAAGGCATCCTTACGGATCTTAAAAAAAAGTAGCAATGACTTTGTTTGAACAAACATCAACACGAACTGTTTAATAGTTTCACATTGGTTATAAAAGGGCAAGGGGCCTAATATATAAGTGGGAGAGCCCCTCACCTTAATGCCTAGCTTTTGAGGTGTGAAAGATCCTTTACGATTCTATAATTGGTATCAAAGCCTGGCTAGTTCAGTATCTCTGGCTCGAGGGACATAGTGTGTAAAGGCCTGATGGACCGTGGGTGCCTGTAGGGCCCGTATACCTGAGGAGCCGTGTGGAAACGGTGAAGGGGCGGTGAAGGGCTGAGGGATACCAATGTGTAAAGGGAGAGATTGTTGAATAGTCCCACATTAGTTGTGGAAGGGCAAGAGATCTAATATAAGTGGGGGAGCCCCTCACCTCAATGGCTAGCTTTTGGGTGGGAAAGATCCTTTATGATCCTACACGAACAACCAAATCGACCAAAGAAACATTGGTTTGGGTCTTATAGACGGAGCTTCCATGGAGAATAGCGTCCAAGATGCGTATAATGACTATCTGAACAATGGAACTAGCTAGGTTTTCACCTGAAGAATAGAGGAGAGTGAAAACAATGATGCCTTCATGAAGGATAACTGTGCCCACGGGCATTGACATCATCGGCATTAGTCAAAGACCATGCAAGACTTTCGTTAGGCTCCCACTCCCTGCCAACTATGAAGTCCCAAGCCACCACAGCACTACCGAGACAAAAGCAGAAGAGGGTTATCGTTGCTAAGCTTTCCACCCAAACAAGCAGATCCGACTCCTCCTCAACATACAAACTCATGGACGTGGTGAGGGAGCCTTATGCACCACCTCTCCACCAAAACCAAACGCCTAACTAGTTGTCATAAGAACCTTCAAAGCCTAATGGCCACTCATTCTCCACAAAGTAAAACCCATCCAATCGAACCAACATCTTACCCCTTGTAATGGAACTCCCTGCGACCGGAGTCTGGAAATAGATCCGACAAAAGAGGGGGAGGAGCTCTAGGCAACGAGAGAAGAACCAGCCGGTCGGAGGGGATCCCTCACCGTCGACCAGAGAACACCATCCACACCATTGTCCGCTTTCCGGCGAACAATCTGCATCGGCGCTTACCCCTCTTCAGCAGTCTATCCTGCTTATTTGGGCACTAAATTCATCCCAATGTCTGGTCTCTCCATGCGTCAACCCCACTGGCAACAACTGCACTTATACTAGCTACCTGCACTGACACCACCTTACCGGCCTTCGTACCTGCAGCTCCACCTTTGACACCATCTCGGCCACAACAACTTCGCTAACCAGCGGTATCGATGTCAATACACACCTTGTCCACCACCCCTTGCCAAATCTATTTGAGGGGAGGGTGCATTTGGCCTCGAAGAGGCTGATCTGGCTGCCTCTCCACCTCTATCCATTGAATCCACCTTGATCGCTGCCTCCGGTCATCGCTTCCTTCTTCACCACCTTCGTCCCATCTGCCTTCAACTTTCTTCATGGTCATGTGGCAGCGGCGAGACGGAAGAAGGGCCGGGGAGTGAGAATGGTGGCGGGCGGTGGCTAGGGTTTCCCAGTCTGCCTGTGTCATACATGTTTGGAACAACACCGACATATAGTGTTCCTTTGCCAGCATTTTGGTAACAAAGTTATAAGGGCCTGTTTGGTAGACCTTCAACTCCTAAATTTAGCTCTAGGAGCTGTGTCTGGAGTAGAGTTATGGAGCTGCCTAGCTAAACACAGCTTCACCTCTCTAGTTCATTTTGTGAGGAGTAAAGTCCATCACCGGTCCCTAAACTTGTACCCCTGTGTCATCCCAGTCCCTAAACTCGCAAATCGACCGTTTAGGTCCTCAAACTTGTTCAACTGTGTCATCATGGTCCCTAAATTTGCAGATCACTCATTTAGGTCCTCCAACTTTTTCAGTTGTGTCACCCCGGTCCCTAAACTTGGATTTAAATATCATCTGGGTTAAATATAACGGTTTAAAGACTTTATATTTAAAAATAATTCATAACATTTTCATGTGAACTGTAATAAAGACAAACTTTATATCAAACTTGTAGCCCTCGACCCGATCTACAACTTTGTAATTGAATTTTTTTATTGTAAGTCATTTTTTGTCCCAAAATGTAATTTTAAAATTAAAATTTCAAAATCTATAAACATGCAATAATATTTTGGGACCCTAAATAGTTTTAATTCAAAAAATTTTCAACTACAAAGTTGTAGGTCGCGTCGAGGGCTACAATTTTGATATAAAATTTGTCTTCATTAGAGTTCACATGAAAAAGTTATGAATTATTTTTTGATATAAAGTTTTTAGACCGTCCTGTTTAGGGACCGGGGTGACACAACTGAACAAGTTGGAGGACCTAAACGAGTGATATGCAAGTTTAGGGACTGAGATGACACAGTCGAACAACTTTGAGGACCTGAACGGTCAATTTGCGAGTTTAGGGACCGGGATGACACAGCGGTACAAGTTTAGGGACCGGTGATGGACTTTACTCTTTTGTGAGAGCGCTACACCCAACTGCACTCACATTTTAGGTGAAACTAAAACTATTGAGTAATGCTCCGGTGCAATCTACTTGCAGTATTCTACTCCAAGTAGAATTAATCTTGACCGTTTATTTTAAAGGGCAGGTAAGTAATCTCCTAATATTGTTTAGGGGTAATTTTGGCATGGGATGTTTTCTTCTGTTCGCATCGTATCAGGTCCGAACTCCGTTGCACGCAGTCACCTCGCTATTCCTCCCCCGGCCTCGCCGCCTTGTCCGCCCCCTCCGTCGCCATCCGTATTCCCCGCCGTCGCCGCCTTGTCCGCTTCCTCAGTCGCATCGTCCGTCTGGGAGCGGACGAGTGTGGTGGCGTCCGAGCGAGCGACAATCTTGAGCAAGAGTTCTGGCGGTAGTAAAAACTCCGACCTGGGCTTCGGCGGTAGCGTCACGCACGCACGCAATGTCATTTGCTTGGCGGCGGCGTCTCGGCTCATTCGTCTTCTTGCCGTTTCCGATCACTGTGTTGTTTCATAGATTACATGGATCGATTAAGATCTTGCACGACCAACTCCGACGAGGATGACATGGTGATCGATCTATGGATCGGAAAACAATAATACCCCTTCACGAATTATTTTTCCTGGACAAAAACACCCCTCCACATTTCTACTTCCACTAATTCTGGTAGGAGTAGAACTAAATCTTAACTCTACAATTAAATATGATAGAGGGCCTAGATTACTTTCTACTCCGAGTAGAAAGCACCGGAGTAGGACTCAAAACTGTTTAGCTGACTTGACTCCAGCTTCAGGAGAGAGAAGAGGTGTAGCTTGAGCAGTGCCAAACAGACCTGAAGATTAACAATATGTTGTTATATTTCCAGAACGATATGAGTTCAATGATTTATCGATTTCAGAGACGACGAAAATGATACTAGGATGGAACAAGGATCTCATCAAGCAAGCCGACCGGCACAGAGGGAGCACGCCTCTCCACGTCGCGGCGTCATGGGGGCACCACGACGTCATCAGCTTGCTGCTCGATGCCGACCCATCGGCGGCGTACCAGCCTGACCACGACGGCGCGTTCCCGATCCATGTCGCCGCCTACGACGGCCAGGTCAGGGCCGTCTCCATCCTGCTCGGGCTCGACAACCACCGCAAGTGCGCCGGGCTGTGCTCGGGGGAGCGCAGGCGTCGAGACCTAAGAGGCTGCGCCGAGCTCCGTGACGGCCGCGGGCGGAGCTTCCTCCACGTCGCCGTCGAGGAGCAGCGGCAGTCCGTGGTCGCGTACGCCTGCAAGCTCGGGAACCTCTCGCCGGCGGTGATGAACATGCAGGACGACGACGGCAACACGGCGCTGCACCTCGCCGTCAAGGCCGGCAACATGTGGATCTTCAACCCTCTCATGGAGAGACGCCAGGTCGAGCTCAACTTGACGAACAATAAGGGAGAAACCCCGCTTGATATTTCTTGGATCGAGAAACCAGTTGGTGTTTATTTCGGATTGGTAAGCTATATGCTTTTGCTCTTCAATTTTGTTTGAATTTGATCAGATTTCAGAAGTAATAGTACTTGCTATGATTCGTTTGAATCCAATATTTTTTCTGGCAGAATCAACGGGTCAAGATATACAAGTTGCTGAAAGATGCCAACGCCAAGCAAGGTAATCACCGATGGGATCTCTTTCTCAAAAAACACAACAAGAAGGTAGACGAGGAGGTTGAAGGGAAGAAGCTGACGGAATCCACCCAAACCATCGGCGTCGGCTCGGTGCTGATCGCCACGGTGGCGTTCGCGGCGGCGTTCGCGCCGCCGGGCGACTACGGCGACGATGGCGCGCCGAGGCTGGCCGGCCGCTACGCCTTCGACGTGTTCATCATCGCCAACACGCTGGCGTTCATCTGCGCGGGGCTGTCCGTCATCAGCCTCACGTACGCCGGGGTGGCCGCCGTCGACATGCGCACCCGCATGATCTCCTTCGTCTTCTCGGCGTCGTTCATGGCGTGCTCGGCGAGGAGCCTCGGCGTGGCGTTCGCGTTCGGGATGTACGTCGTGCTGGCCCCCGTGGCACGCACGACGGCCATCGCCGCCTGCGTCATCACGGGGCTCGCGCTGGCCGACGTCGCGTGGTTCGTCTTTGTGGTGGCCGCCGGCGAGGTGATGCTGCTCAAGAGGCTCGGGATTGCACGGGCGTGGTGGCGGCTGCCGTTCGCCATCATGGCCACCTTGCTGATGCAATTCTGGCCTTACATTGTGATTGTTGTCGTGGTGTTGTACTCCAAGATTAGGGGAGTACATTGAACTGAAGTCGAATTCTAGCTGATGTGAGTGGACGGGAGCTAAACTGGATTTTAGCTTAGGTCCGTGGTTAAGCTTACGGTTAATTATTCTGGACAATACTTCGATAGATCAGAGCATGATATATATGGTTTCTGTACCAAAGTTTGAATGCATGTTACAACGTTGCCAACATTTAACCTAACATTTTGCGATGGATATCTCAACTGTACTTCATGATCACTGGCGGTTTAAGTCTCGCCTGTGAAGACCTTTTATTTTCACTAGCCTTTGGTCCTGGCAGCTAGCATAGCCGCAAGTAAAGACTGATTTTAGCCGCTAGGGAAAACCATTGTTTTAGTAGTAAGGAGGGTCGGAGGATATGGAGAGGGGGGAGGAGGGGAGGGCGGTGGACGGAGAGGGAGGAGGAGGGGTATGGGCTGCGAACGAAGAGGGAGGAGGAGGGGGAGGGGCGACGGAGTTGTGCAAGAGAGATAACTGGAGGGGAGAGAGAGAGATGTGCGAGCGAAAGAGTCAGGAGGAAGAGAGGATAAGGCACACTCATCTCCTCATTAAAAATATATTGCTCCAACTCCGCCAGCACCTATAGTGCTCAAAGGTGCTGGTTCTATATTTTTGTTAACGAAAGAAGGTGGAAAAGGTCCATCAGTGCCGATTTAAATGAACCAGTACCTATGAGGCGATACCTAATGGTGGTAATTGTATCTATGAGCCTCTAGATGAAAGATAACACCTTCATGCCTCTGCCGACTTTCCAGCCTCGGATTCCATGCTATCTTCGCCACAGGTAGTGCCGACCAGCAGTAGCTAGCGCCTCTTCCTCATCGTCGGCATTGAGGCAGCCTAGAATGTTGTTGTTGACTTGTCTGGTCACCAGCCATGATGGGCAACGGTGGTGTGGTGAGGGGGATGGCTGAGGATGATTGGGTGACTAGGCCTAAGGTAGAAAGGGTGGAATTAGAGGGCTCACTGAGGAGGATACGCAGCAGCGCCGGCAATGGCGGAGTGGCAATACCCATGTTTAGTCACTACGAAGGTAAAATGGTGTCGCGGGGTCACTAAGAACTAGGCATAATTAGTGGTAACCTGCGGGTTCACAGGTCGACCACTCCCGTCCTAGGTGCGGCATGTCGGGCCACGACATAGGAACCCACGGGTTACCCACTTATTTGACCTATAAGTGGGTTTGCGGGTTGGTCAACTTGCATCCCTACTTCAAACTCGATAGTGGTGATGGCTAGACCAATTGAGAGTTGGAGACGGCATAACAGCGGAAGTCGGTGTGGTGGCTGCCGAGGCAGAGCTCGGCGGGAGAGGAAAAGCGGCGCGGCGCGGCGAGGGAGCAGTGGAGAAGAAGCAAGAAAATGCAGCGGGTCGGGGCTTTCTAGCTGCACGACAGCGCAAGAAGACAAAGAAGAGAGGTGGTGGCTTGGGAGAGATTTTTCTCATGGACACGGAGCCGAAGGCGCGTCGTGCGTGGCACGAAGAAGGGGACAACAGCGATTTCTTGGGTGACAGATCGGATGGCGGTGGAGTGGGGATCACTGCCTTAGAAATGATTTTTTTTGTATGAGGGTGTTAATGTCAAAATTTGGTAAACCCCGTAGTCATCATCGGCCAAGAATCAATATTGGTTTCAGAGTCCTGGAATCGGCCGATGGGAATTATCAAGTCGTCAATAGTCGGATTCTTAGTAGATTCGATTAAGGAAATTAATCTATTAAAGGAAGTTTATCCAGAAGTGATCGAGTTCAAGAAGAATGCGGCATGTTAGTTTATCTTTTAATTAGCAAGAGTCTGTTAGTTTCCTTTTATCTTTAGGAACGTGGTTCTAGTGTCCGATAAGAACTTTATGTTTTTCCTTTTATCTTTAGAAAAGTTTCTTTTTATCCAACAATGACTAATATGTACCCATGGGTATAAATATGTACACCCAGGGACATTGTAAACTATCTCTCGATCAATAAAACTACTTTCGGCGCATCACCACCCTCTTTTCTGAGGTTTTTACTTATCAACCGGTGGAACTTTGCACCTGACGCGGGTTGCATTGGCTTTCAATCTCTGGCGAAGGGGTAAGTCCTACGTTCCACCAGCTCTGACAATCGTATTGGTTACATTGGTGTTGTCTAAGGCTGGATCGTTCTTGACCTCTTAGATCGCTCTGGTTTGGTTGGTATGTTTGTCTACCTACTTATCATATATCTTAACTAATCTAGTTTGGTAGTTCGATTTACATGTATCAGCTCGGATCTGCATTAGGGTTTTCACCGATATCGGCTAAATTGCTTTGCCAGATTAAATTAGCTAAGGTATCCACCACCCTAAAAAATTAATCAAAGACATGATTGTTTAGACTTTATTCTTCTTAGCACACTTTGCGATGCACCATCCCTAGTCATGCTTAGAATCATACAGGCTAACCTGTCTTTGATTATAATAAAGGGTTTCATTGGGGTTTCAACCGATGAGTTATCTGGACGTTGCATTGGCTTACAAGGATTGCATACAAGGTGGTTTTAGCCGATTGCAACAAACGTTTCATTAATTATCTAATCTTGTGGATTTGATGACATTGGACCTCCAGCCGATATATGTTTTAATCTTCGGATCAGTATTTATTCTATCATATCATTATTAGCCAGTTGGTTTTTACTGGATTATATTATTGTTTTCTTACATTACCACTAGCCAATTGTTTTTATATTGTTATTTACATTGGACATATAGTTGATTGCCCCCCTATCGGCATTGGCTAGAACTACTCCATCGGCTTGTTAGCTGATCAGCTATTTGATCTGTTGTTTACATATCTTGTCAGTTTCATGATCAAACAGACTCTCTCGTCCACATCTCATCAATTTTTGGACCTACACTGGAGCTAAGCAGATCTCCCATGTCGTTGTTGTTGTTGACTTAGTTCGCGCCAACAGTTCTGACATAATTGGCCGAGTGCAACTAGTCGCGTTTGCCAAAATCAACCTCTATTTGTTTCATACTGCTGCTTAGGAGAGCCGCATGCAAAAATCAATTTTCGCAAACAGGGCTCTTAACAGACTCGCATGCAAAAATAAGTCTATTTTCACATATGGACCTCTTAGTGGCCTGTCTACAAGTCTAACCGTGCTCCCCTTTCCCTCTCACCATCTTAAAGAAATAAAAATCTAAGTCACCTCCCCTCTCATTTCCTCTTCTACTCTCTCCCTCACCTTAAAAAAAACTCTCTCCCTCACCTTCCCCTCCCAAGCGGTGGGCGGGAGTGGCCGGCGGCAGCGCGCGCGCGACGAGAGCCAGCAACGATGACGGACAGTGAGGGTGGTAGTGAAGGTGGCCCTGCCCTTGTGGGCGGCGATACATCCAGAGGCCGGCCGGTCGGCCAGTTTGGGGGGGGGGGCCTCAGCGGTGTTGGATCCGACGGTGGGGAGGGCTGCAGCGACAGAGCTCAGATCCCATGGTCCCTCCACCCATAACGACGATGACGACAACAAGGACAGCGATGGAGGCTTTGAGCAATGACGACGGTGGTGGCGGCTGCGAGCTTCTAGGGCTAGGATTTTGGTATTGTCGTTTCCTTTTCGCAGACGGACGATTTAACTGTCTGCCTTTAGCCGCAATGCAAAAGTTTGATTTTTCTCATACCTTTTCGTGCATACGGCTAGAGAAACTGCATGCGAAAATAAGTTTTGACCATACGCAAAAATCAGTTTCGTAGTAATGGATGGCCGGGCGCGGAAGGGAAGTGGGGAATGCTTGATATCTTTTTCGCTGGTCGTTTCATGGAGCACGTGATGCACGTGGCCATGTGGGAGAGAAGAGAGGGGAAAAGAGAAGAAAGGGGGAAGGAAGAAGAGGGAGGGGGCGCTAACTGGCAGGGCCAGCAAGCCAGGCGATAGGGGCATGCAAGTGGCTGCAGTCTGAATGGTGGTACGCGGTCGGTCGGACTAGGCCAGCTGCCGGCGCACGCCAGAGAGAGACGAAGCCAGCTGCTGGGCTGGCTTGGCTGGGCCATGGGCGTGGAAGGGAGAGGAGGGAAGGGGAGGCCGATCTGGCATGGGGGCCGAGCAAGGAAGGGAGAGAGAGAGAGAGAGAGAGAGGAGGAGGGGTGGGTCTGGCTTGAAAAAGAGGACAGGCAGCCCATGTTGAATAGAAGAATTTGGTATTTATCCCAGAATTTGATTTAAGGGATATTTGGAAGATTCGGGAGGATATTTGAACCCAAATTTAATATTTGAGTTCACGAAATTCTGTGGATTTCATATAAAAGCAAAAAGGGTCCTGACTGAGATTTTTAATATTTTTGGCACGATATTGAAAGAGTTCCAGGAGATCATATGGAGGGAAAGGTGAGGGGTTCGAAAGATAATGTGATTTCCAAAATTTGAACCAGGGTTTTAGGAGAGAGGTTTTGGTGGTAAATTTATAAGGAGAGGAATTTTATGGAATTTTGAATACTAGGAGATATGGATGATTTTGGAGGGACAATTCGAATAGCAGAATTTGAATTCTGAGATTCAAATTTGGATAGGAATTTTGTTATGGTCAGAAATATATATATATATATATATATATATATATATATATATATATATATATATATATATATATATATAACCATTTCTAAGGGTTTTAGCACAGATTAATGTTGAGGTAAAATTAATTTGATATCCATGAGAGTTACCTTACGAATCATGAGAAATAGTTGAATAGGGAAAATAGTGCTTTAATGAGAAATGCTTATATTTGTGAACGAATGAAGCAGCTACCACCTTAATTACTGGTTTTGAAATTAAGAGGTATAATTTATTGTTTCAATAGAAGTTATATGAATCAATGATTCGACACATCGTACTGCTGACAATATTGGCAATGGAATGGTTCCGATCACCGTAATAGATCAATTGAGTTACATATATACGACTGCACATTTGTGTTTTTTTTTATAAAAAGATCCAAATATCCCCTTATGTTTGCGCACTAATCGAACTATTAAATCAGTTGCCAATCCCCCTAAATTATTTCTGGGCCTAATAACGCCATTAGTAGAAACATGTTGAAGGGGTTGAGTACTTGCCGTACCTAGACTCATGCATCTATTCTTGCTTCAAAACAGA